CATAAACACAAAAGACCAGCGGAAACGATTTCTAGAAAAACTCCTTTCCTACTACTAATAAAATAGGACAATCAACCAAGCAAGCAATCAAAGACCTGATAAAGTAAAGTAGATACACGGATTTATGTGAAAAATCCAAATCGAGAAAAATCACGGGACTGTAACAACAGTCAAATCTCCACTATCACAAGAATGAGAAAATAGTCTTCACCAACCGGTGGAAACACAGGACTTCACCCAAAGGTGGATTACAATAATAATCTTCCAAAATACACCTAAACCACAAAGTAGGATTGGAAGAATCTCACCAAAAGAGAGTTAAACCGAAAACTAAACCCTAACTTTCTTTCTTTTTCTCTCATACAAAAACAATGCACGGCTACCCAAATTTTTCTTCTCTTCTTGGCTGAAAAATACATCCACAAATTGTGAATAAAGCCTTGCTTTTATAGGCATCAAAAAAACTAAACTCAAAACCCAATGGAAGTGGGTTTTCTTTTCTCAGTCAAACACCCCAAAACCAAAGCCTAGTTAGGCTTTGTTTTATTTCCTTGTTGTTGCTGGCCCAATTGAGGGGAACGACCAGTCCAACAATTTTTCCCTTCACCTCAATTGGGGGGGTAAAACCAAACCATCTTCCTATCTACAAAACAGGAGCTTGTCTCTACTCACAGTCTTTGTCAACATATCGGCACCGTTGTCATCTGTATGGATCTTCTCAAGAAACAACGCCTTGGACTCCAGCACATCACGAATCCAATGATATCTCACATCAATATGTTTAGATCGCGAATGAAATGTGGAATTTTTCGCTAAGTGAATAGCGCTCTGGCTATCATAATACACCACATACCTTGCTTCATGCCAAGCTCTTGTAGAAACTTCTGCAACCAAAGTGCTTTCTTACAAGATTCAGTAGCTGCGATAAAATCTGCCTCGGTAGTAGACAAAGCAACACACTTCTGCAACCTACTCTGCCATGAAACTGCTCCCCCTCCATAAGTCATCAAGTAACTAGAAGTAGACTTCCGACCATCAAGGTCACCCTCCATGTCAGCATTTGTCAATCCATTTAACATGGTCTTCCCATTGCTAAAGCAAAGACTCAATCTGGAAGTACCCCTAAGATACCTGAGAATCCACTTCACAGCATTCCAATGCTCCTTACCAGGATTGGAGAGAAACCGACTAACTACACCAACTGCATGAGCTATGTCTGGCCTTGTGCAAACTATCACATACATTAGGCTGCCAACTGCCGAAGCATAAGGAACCTTTTTCATCTGTTCCTTATCTTTCTCACTTTTAGGACACTGCGTTTTGCTTAGCTTAAAATGTCCCGCAAGTGGAGTCGAGACTCCCTTAGCACCGCTCATGTTAAACCTATCAAGAACCTTCTCGATATACTTCTCTTGAGATACCCAAAACTTCCCATTTTGTCTGTCACAAGAAATCTTCATCCCAAGGATCAGTCTAGCCGGACCTAAATCCTTCATCGCAAAGGACTTATCCAACTCCTTTTTCAACCTGACAATCTTTGCAGTATCATGACCAACAATCAACATGTCATCGACATAAAGTAAAAGAATAATAAAATCACCATCATAGAATTTCTTCACAAACACACAATGATCAGCTGTAGTCCTTTGGTATCCCTGCCCTATCATGAAGGCATCAAACTTCTTGTACCACTGCCTCGAAGCTTGCTTCAACCCATACAAGCTTTTGAGACGACATACAAGCTTCTCTTTCCCCTTCTCCTAGAACCCATCTGGTTGCTCCATGTAAATCTCTTCTTCCAAATCATCATGCAAGAAGGTTGTCTTCACATCAAGTTGTTCAATCTCAAGATTCAAGATGGCTGCTATCCCAAGTACAACTTGGATCGAAGACATCTTTACAACAGGAGAGAATATCTCATCAAAGTCTACGCCCTTTCTCTGATTGAATCCCTTCACAACCAATCTGGCTTTGTACCTCGGTTGTGAGCTGTTCTCACTTGTTTTTAGTCTGAACACCCATTTATTCTTGAGTGCTCTCTTGCCCTTAGGCAGTTTCACCAAGTCATAAGTGTTGTTCTCATGCAAGGATTTGATCGCATCTTGCATGGCTGCTAACCACTGATCTTTCTGCTCATGACTAAGAACCTCTTTATACGACTCTGGCTCTCCCCCATCAGTAAGCAATAAATACTCACGAGCATTGTACCTGGTGGAAGGTCTCTTATCTCTGGTGGACCTCCTGAGCTGAACAGGAGGTGATGAAATCGGTGGTGTCTCTGTCTCAGTAGCAGGATCATCATCAAACTCACCATCCTGCTCTGTCTCAGCTCCCCCTTCATGAAAATCATCTGATTGTGGAGAAACTGGATCTAGATCAACAGGAATCTCTGGTGAAGATTCTGGCATCTCGCCCTTTCCCATATCATCAATGGTCTGATCTTCAAAGAAGATTACATCTCTACTTCTAAAAACTTTCTTCTCTACAGGATCCCAAAGTTTGTACCCAAAATCATCATTGCCATATCCCAAGAATACACATTGTTTGGATTTGCCATCAAGCTTCAACCTTTCGTCTTTGGGAATATGAACAAAGGCACGACAACCAAAGTGCCCACACCCTTGACAATGGTAGCACACGACATCTTTCTTGGATTTAGACCGTCCCCTGGACTTGTCATTCCGATCACGTGGCCCTCTGCTTTTACTTCTCCATCTTTTGTCTGACTTTTCTGTCACCAGAGCCTGCGACTCAGACTCAATACTCTGCTCTTTTCTCCTGGCTTCTTTATTCATCAAAGCCTCTTTGACCTGATCCAAGGTCAAGACACTATCCTGGGTTGAATTACTGATTGAAACTATCAAAGTGTCCCAACTGTCTGGAAGAGAACTAAACAGTAACAAAGACTGCACCTCATCATCCAACTTTAAACCAGCATTCACAGTTTGGTTCAACAAACCCTAAAACGAACTCAAGTGCTCATTCATGGTAGCACCATCTTTGTACCTCACCCTTGTAATCTGTTTCAGCGCAGATGACTTATTGATGCCGGACTTCTTCCAGTACATATTCTGGATTTTCTTCCAAAGTTCATCAGCTTTTGTTTCTCCCGAAAAGTGATGAAACACACTTTGATCAGTCCACTGTCGAATATTACCAACAGTCTTCCTGTGCATATCAGCCCACTTCTTATCAGTCATATCACTTGGCCTACCTTCATCCACTAGAACAGGATCAAACAAATCTTTGCAATACAACAAGTCTTCCATTCTAGGATTCAATATATGATAATTGGATAAAGTCAATTTAATCATCGTACCAGCACCCCACGACTCTTCTATTTTATTGGTGTAACACCTCAACTACCGAACCTGGCTCTGATACCACTGTTGTGGCGGAAAGGGCATAAACACAAAAGACCAGCAGAAACAATTTCCAGAAAACTCCTTTCCTACTACCAATAAAATAGGACAACCAAGCAAACAAGCAATCAAAGAACTGATAAAGTAAAGTAGACACACGGATTTACGTGGAAAACCCAAATCGGGAAAAACCACGGGACTGTAACAACAGTCAAATTTCCACTATCACAATGATGAAAAAATAGTCTTCACCAACCGGTGGATACACAGGACTTCACCCAAAGGTGGATTACAATAATACTCTTCCAAAATACACCTAAACCACAAAGTAGGATTAGAAGGATCTCACCAAAAGAGAGTTAAACCGAAAACTAAACCTAGCTTTCTTTCTTTTTCTCTCGTATAAAAACAATGCACGGCTACCCAAATTTTTCTTTTCTTCTTAGCTGAAAAATACATCCACAAATTGTGAACAAAGCCTTGCTTTTATAGGCATCAAAAAAACCAAACCCAAAACCCAATGAAAGTGGGTTTTCTTTTTTCGGTCAAACACTCCAAAACCAAAGCCTAGTTAGGCTTGGTTTTATTTCCTTGTTGTTACTGGCCCAATTGAGGGGAACGACGAGCCCAACAAATTCATCATAAGTTTCCTCAAATTGTTATACGACCGATTTTAATTATAATCTTTCTCTTAATATTGAGGAAAAAAATCCAATATTACTTAATATGTTTTCATTAGAAATTAAATTTAAAAAGATTAAGAAGATGTATATTAATTAATAAGATATACGACAACATATATACGACCTAATTACTTCTCCAAACCAAGAAACAAAATAGATCTGATTCTGAAAAAAAAAAGAAAAGCAAGAAAGAAATTACCGAAAACAAAAAGGAAAAGGTAAAGTAATTATAATTACCGAATAGGGAACGGAAATCCTATGAAGTCCCTTCACTTCCTATATAAACCTTGCCACCTAGTAAAGTTTTTACATCCGATTATTCTCTGCTTTTTTTATTTTGTTTTTGACGTCCACCTCTTCTTCAAGAAATGGCGAATCAAGAATCAATAAAAACTGTATCAGGGGGCAAGCCAGATGCCAACTCATGGAGTTTTGGAGAGGTATTACGTGTTCTAACACAAACTTCCTCATCTGTTACACGAACTTTATAAAGAAGGGAGCGTAATAACATGGGCCGGTGTTGAGTCATCAACAACAACGACGACAAGTGACGGTATAAAATAAATTATCGAGGGTTCGGATTTCAAGGGTTGCGAGGTGAAAGTTATGAACATTGATGCCCAATTTTCTCTGATGGATGGAGTTATTCTCACCGCCACTAGTTGTTTACATGGGAAAGACAACATCACAAGGATTATCTCTCAAACACTTTTCCTTGTCAAACATGGGATCGGATGGTTAGTCTTGAATGATAACCTCCGTCTGATCGACACACATGAAGTTTTGAGGGTTTCTCTTGGTTCTGATGAAAGCGTTGATTCCGTGGCTCCACATGCTTCCTTCACTCAAGAGTCTAGACATACTGATGTTCCTGCTGAACCCGTAAACGAAGTCACTTCCGCAGAAGCCACTAAAGATGTTGAGGAAACCCTAGAAGTCGCTGTCCCAACTGGTGATGTTCCGCCAGTTACCTCAACTCAGAATACTATCCCTTGAGGTCGGAAAAATTTCATATGCACCTGTGGTGGCGAAAGAGGGAAAAGCCGCACCTTCCGTGGGTCATAAAATAATAAGGGTGGCTCCAAGTACCAACCAACAACCAAAAACATTGGTTCCAAGTTCTAATAATCAGCAACCCACGTCAAATATTGCTAATGGGGCAAAAGAACGAACTTCTAAGACAAATATTGCTAAAGGGGCAAAAGAACGAACTTCTAAGACTAATGCTGCTTCTATTGGCATGAACAAAATGGCTACGGAAGATTCAAGGGCTACCTTGATTTATATCGAAAACCGGCCTACGGACATAGCAAAAGATGAACTGGCGCAAGCAGTGAAAGTCTTCGGGGTAGCGAGGCCATCTGGCATTCAGATCAGAACATATCGTGTCGATGGATTCTGTTACGGATTTGTGGAATTCGAATCCGAAGCTTCAGCGAAAAGTGCAGTGGAGGCTCGCAAGCTCAGTATTAGGGGTTTCGACGCCCGAATTTCGTTAAAAAAATATGGCACCATAGGAGGAACAGGTGGAGAGTTTCGGTCTAGAAACTTCAAAGGCCAAGAGAAAGGGGAGATTCCTTCAAACAGGAGCTCTCGGGACGATAATGGTGGACGTGGTTATGACGGACAAAACCAAGAATTCAGTGAAAGGAATAGTGGAAGCAGGGATGGAAGTGCTTATGGAGGAGAAGGGCATCCCAAGAACAGCGGAAGGAATGGAGGACAGCGGAAAAATGGTCAGGTGGCTGCTAAAGCTTGATTGTGCTAGAATGTTTTACAATAGACACAGCTTAGAAATCAGAATCTTCCCCTTTTCCCCTAGTGTAACTTTTGGCATTAAGGATATGAGTTACTTTTTAATATATGTTACGCACTCGATTTCTGAATAATTTATTTTTAATGGGTTCATTAACGTTAATTTGTCGAATGGTTCAATTCTTCATCACCAAAACACCAAAATAACCACAACAACGCATGATATCACTACTCGAAAATGCACACCTTGAACTAGTACTCTGAATTTGAGAAAGAAACCAATAAGAAGGGCGGCACCTTTTAAAGGGCACAATATATTTCTCCATCTTCTTTTCCTGCACTTCATGGTGTTTATGTATAATATCCGGGTACAGATCTTTTATGCTCAAAATTGGTTTAACCTTTTCTTGATCACCCTTATCAAACTAAAATCGTCCCTCAACTCAGCTCAGCTCCGCTCATCAAGATTTTTTTCTTCTCTTTTAAACCTCGTGATTAAAGTGCATTTTACAGTACTCTAATGTTTGAAAAGTTTATCCACAGGAAGCAGATCAATATGTACCCTTTGGTTCTTACTGATTTCAGATTCAGCTCTTCTTCCGACAAGTATTGGTTTTGGATTACGTAAAATTAATAGTTCAACACACTTGGCATGAAATTATTTTACCGAAATAAACTCAGTTAATCAGATGCTACTAGTGAACAAAAAAATGACCCATCAAAAAAAATAGACTAAAAGAAAAGGGATAGATAAATTGGCTTTTATAGTGAAGAATTAGTAGTAATCATCATCGTCAAAACCGTTATAATCTTCTTGATAGTAATACTCATTTTGATCGTACATTTGATCTCCTTCTACTTCTTGGGCAGCATCATCTTCCACGTCCCATTGATCAGTCTCTTCCTGCTCATTCAAACAGCTCGATGTCGCTTCATGTTCCTCCTTTTCTTCTTTTCTCCCATTAGATTCAGTGTTGTCCTCATCAGACTGAACTCGAGGCCGTTTTGGTTTTGAAGGTAACTAGACCGACAAATCCATTTTAGTCAAATGACAACAAAACACAAACTAAAATTACACACCGGGCAACGTATAAGCATACGAAAGATTGACTTACATCCTCATCAAATAGTTTGTCGATGGCATCGTAATTGATCTTTGAACTTAATCCCTGATGACACAAAGACAACATAATCTTAAAGAACTGGTGAAATAAACCCAAATCAGTTTTTTTCTTGTTTTTGTTCATAAGCGACCAGGGAGATCTACAGTATTAGATGGATTAAAACTGTTACAAAGATACTCCGCGTTCGCATGTACAATACCTTTTTCTTTAGCGCCTGACTGGCTGCTTCAGCAGCAGTTCGGAAAGGGGAGGTGTTCTGTGCTTCCAAAGCTCTCTTCTTTTTCCGTTGCTGGCATGAAACAAGAAGGTAGATGGCTGATGTTAACGATTCACCCGAAAACAAAATCAACAAAAAAATCTTGGTTGATGTTAAACTACCTCTCTTGATTTTGCTACAGCAGCCCCTGCAGCAGCAGCAAGTTTCCTAGCGGCTAGCACATCTTCTGAGGCGTCACCAATTTCTTTCGCAGCAGCAGCAGCTGCTGCCTCTTTCGCTGCTTGTTCCTAGCAATTTCAGCTAAAAGTGAGTTTCTTGTCAAACTTATTACATAATTTAAAATGCTACGGCAAGCAAGCGACCACAATGAAGCTACAATGCGGAATAATCACCTGGAGGTACTCCTTATTCATTTCTTCCCATATGATCTTCTTCAATCGGCTTTCTTCTTTACTATTAAGGTAGCAATCGACCTACAAAAACAAGATACTCAGGGTCCAGAAAAACAATGTTTCAATATACTCAAGCGCAGAGAAGATCACCTGAAAAATTTCTCATCTGATTTTTCAGGCAAACATTACTATGAATGAAAAACAAATGGAAGATCAAACACACATTATCCTTATAACCAAAAGCAGAACATGGGAACCACCCCCATTATGTTGTCCAAGGTTTGCATTATAATTTTTTTTTTCTTGAAAAGGTTTACATTTACTTTTTGAATAACTTATTGTGCAAGTATACACATATATCAATTACCACAATGTGAGGGTAGGCACTAGAGAGAGTCCGTGTAGGGACAGATTTAAACAACTCATAAAAGAAGCACCAAGGTTCAAGCTGCATAAAGCTGGAGAACTTTCTGATAGAATCGCTCACCTCTGAATCATCTATATCCGACAAATTTTCCGTATCGTCAGTAATGGATGGAATATCACCATCTTCAGAAAAATTGTCATTGAAGGGTGTGACCAGGTTCCCGGATAAAGCTGGTGGAAGAGATAGAGAGACAGAGATGAGAACAAAAGCACACAGCACTCGGATATTTTTTCTAAGCACACAGATAATTTCTAAACACCATTCTTAGACACTTACAAGAACTTTCTGGATCTGCTATAGCATCTTTTTCCCTGCTGAACACATCCTCACTTGCCTTGTTAGGGCATCTTTCCTACACGAACATCAATGAATTCAAAGGCGCATGACAACAAAATAGGAAATGAATATCTGAAACAAAAAGTACCCCAAGAAAATAAAAACGAAAGTGACAATAATAAGTTACAAAAATAAATTAAAAAAAAAATATATCCAAACAACAAACTAATCAGTAGATGAAGACTTTCAAATGCAACAATTGGCCAAATATCCTATTAGCTCATCATGGTCAACGAGACTCACTCTGACGTCGAAGCATTAAACATATATATTTGAAATGCCATCATAAGATAAACTAAATGGGCGAGAGACTTGAACTCCCATCAATGATCAATAGGAGCTGGGAAGTAGACAATTTTTGCCTCATCTAAAAATAATAAGCAATGTGGACCCTTAATGTACAAGTACTCCTAAGCTGGTACAACCTCAATGAAAATTTTTATGGAGAAATTGAATAAATAGAAACAAAATTCCCAAGAAGTTTCAGAATGTAGATTTGCATCTGCCAAGATTCTTTATTTCACTCCAAAATCAATTTAGTGAGTTTGACAGCATGTGTTTGACTTTCCTTCTCAGCTTGAGAAAACTATTATTCTAGAATATTGTGATACCAGACTAGTAGACATTGTGTTGATCACAACTTCCCCAACAGCATAAATGTATTCTCCCAGGTTATACTTGCAAATATATTGACTACTTCATAAAGATTATTCTTCAAGAGACAGTTACATGAAATTATTGTTACCAACCTGTTCACAAGAAGATGCTTCAGTCAATCTCTTAATTTCAGCTACCTGGAAGGCTGGAGGATCAGATCCTCCGTTAAGTCCTCCGGAAAATTCAAGAAACTGCATGTATAAGCAAGCATGATTCAGGAAACAAAGGCATACTTAAGGGAAACTGAATGTAGAAAACAGAAAGAAAATTTACATCTTTGTAGCAGCTCCTGCAAAGCCCATGAGCAAAATGAGGTTCTTTTCCTTTGTGTTGGCAGAACACTTCCATCATATCTGACTTAATGGCACTTGCATGAATTGCTGGATTCTCCCTCTCAAATTCTTTAGCCTTCTGAGTGAACTCTTCAATCTAGTAAAAGGATAAGGATAAAGAAAAAAGCTCAAAAAAGGAACACCTCAAAATGTGTTGCAGATAGATGATTGCATTTTTGTTCCTATCTTTTCCCTTCTTTTTTCTTGCTGTATCTTCTAAAATTTGAGATGTTCCTACATTTAAAACAAACCACTGAAATGGAAAAGATGTTGTAGCAGATTTGAGTTTTTCCAAACAGATGAATTTGGCCAAAAGATATCATTGGCCTTGGAAACTTGTATAGCACAACTTGAGACTTGGTTCTTCCAAGATCACTGTTTAAAATATACGGTATGAAGTGCTTGCAAAGGAAGTGAAACTATAACAACTTCGAGGCACTTACCGTTAAGCTTCCAGATTCTGTATTCCCAAATTCGAACAATCTTTTGGTCAATGTCGCTTCACATATGTGAACGATCTTAATCTACAAAAGGAACACATGGATTCATACCAGAAAATATATTCGAAAATATGCACGTACTGTCTTTCTTTTCTCTTGTTTTGAAAATACTTTTCTCAAAGAATGAGACCGACGATGATGTAGATGATTAATAATAAAATGCGAATGCGATAAAAAAAGGTGGCTTAAAAAGAAGCTTTTGGTAAGACAAAATGCATTCTTTTCCAGTTAATACATATTGTCCTACAAACTCTTTTGCGAAAGACTTCCATTCAAGTCTTTCCACATAAGGGTCCAAAGAAATGATATCTGCAAAGACTTGAGATGATATGAACCTTTACTTTTAACTGAACTACTGTAAGAGATACCAATGGCAACCAGAAGAGTAGAAGAGGGTAAGTAATAGAAAACATGTCCTTAATTACAGTGCTACTCCGTCACTTGCAACTCAATCAGCTCACAGTAACGGTAACTTCTACTTCAGAGTACCACAAATCTGTACATAAATCATACTGGAAACAAAATCATTCAAGAAGAACATAGAGGAGCAATTTTACTCACAATCTCTGATTTTGAATATCTGTAACCATGCGAAAGTGCAGATATGAATAGTGCAGCACCACAAATCCCACTGGGTTTTCTGCCTGTCTGAAAGGAATATTAAGGTTAGAATTTTGTAGCACACGATTCAATTTCCAAAACAGGATAAGAAGTACGTGTTCCATTTAACTGGTCACGGACATGCATCCAGTCTCGTTTCATGCTGGCAACTATCCGAAGTGCAGTCCTCACCACCCTGGTTTGATTATCACCATCTTTCATTAGTGCTACAGAAACACAAGACTATTAATTGGCAATGACCTGCAGCACTACAGTCTTAAAAGGCCAGATGTTTCGACCGAAAAGGATGATCACATTATAACTGATAAACAACACTGAATTGAGTAATCGAGTCCAGAATAAAATCGCAATGAGCACAAATCATGTTACCAAAGAATGGTTTCACGGAAAAGAGAAACAAAGAAAGCTGGACATTCAAAATAAATTTCACAGAGTTCATTTGTTTAAACAGAAACCTACTGCTAATAGGTCCCCCAACGGTGTCATTCATAACATGGAAAGGAAACAATAATAGCAGAAAAGCAAATATAACCATCAGCAAATAAGGATACTGGTGACAAATTGAAAACCCGAGAAACAATGGTCAAATCATAGAAATGCTTTGCAGGTTTGAACATTTACAAAAGTAGGGTTTTCCCTGGTTTTACCGGACATGAAATTCAGGCCTTATTGCAAGGGAAAATGGATCCTGGGCTTATAGGGATCCCGTGGCTGATAAAATTTACATGTATGTTAAAGGTAGCGAATCTAATACCACTCTCCATTGTACGATGGATTGAACTCGAAGTGCTTAGGATAATAAGGAGAAGAGGAGCATTACCACTTGCAAATCGATGAATAAAAATGCTTAGGAAAATAAGATGAAGAGCAGCATTACCACTTGTAAATCGATGCATGAAAAGGCTAGGATCAATAGACTTCAGGAAAAAGGGATGCTCCGAAAGGCTTAAATGTTTGCAAAGCTCCAGATAAACAGCGCCCAGGATGTAACTACATATACAAATAAAAATAAAAATATAAAGAACCAAATTAAAGTAATCGTTAAGGACACAAGCAAAGCTGCAGCGAAGGTAAGAAACATGAAAGGAAAAGAAACTACACCCAGAATGGGTATTATCTTACACGTTCACACTCAACCAAATGGCAAAGTCGATCAATAAAGATGGTTTGTTATTCACCCTGCAAGATAAAATAAGAAGCCAAGCATTGGACATGTCAAATCCTAAAATGTAGAGATAGCAACAATAAGCAACTGAAATTAAAACACTTGTTCAAAAAGGTAAATGCGCGAAAAAACAAAGATCTATATTCGCTGGGCGATTATATATACTGCTGACAGTTATTCTTCACAAGTATCAGGACCATATTATCTAGAGAATTAGTTCCACGAATTCCCAAGCAACTAACACAAGGAATTGATTTCCCAGTACAGTTTTCATTGTCACCATAAAGATCATTAAAACCAATTAGCAAGAGTATCAAATACATGTAGAAAGCTTGCTGCGTACTTGAATGACTGCTACATGAAACAAAACTAAAAGACAGCGGATTCACGCACCGACAAGCAATGTAGAGGCAGGCTGCAGCAACTTGATCAGTTCGTCGACCTCTAGTAAAACCACGCTCAAGTGCTATCTGCAAGATCATAGCCATAACAAATTATTAAAAAAACGCATCACAATTATGCGGATTGTCATGGAATAATGGAGAACTACATCAGAAAAAATAGATAAAAACAAGGAAAGTCGCTGTAGAAGAGACCCGATAAAATGCTTTAGCTGGACCACTTAACGATGCATCATCACCCATTTCCATTTTTGTCATCAAATCGTCGATGTGCCTCTTTCCTACATAAATGGCATATACCAGAAAACAAATACAGATAAACTTTCATAAAGTAAATCAAACTAAGATTAGCCTAACAACTCAACTTCACAAGAACAAAAATAAATAGCTCTGTTGTGCTAAGAAAATGAGCCGACAAAGCTCTTTGTTTTATACCAAATTCCAGGAAGCTCAGAGAAGTTCATGCAAGAAGGAAACAGAATACAAAAGCAGCAAACAAATAAATAAATAAGTTTGGGCCAGAAGCGGACAATAGTCTTCCTGTTTCAAATAATATCAGAAACACAAACACAAACCTTTGTTTAATGTCCTTTGAAAAGACTCCGAAAGATCCTTTGGGTTGAAGAATATTATATTTCCATCAAACTGGCTCTGCGCCCACAGAAAAATGAAAGAAAGATCGGCAAGGATTTATAGAGATATAACAAATGGACAACATCAAGAAATCCACCAAAAATCCAATCGTTTTCTCTTTCTTTTCCACAATGGTCTAAACTTAATTTGCATTGGCGGCCCGAAAAAACAGAAAAGCAAAAAAAAATCAGCAGCAGAATACCTCTCCTCCTGGCCCTTTTCTGTATGAGGGGTCAGATGAGTAGACATCTTGAGAAAGTACTCGTCCACAATCAGTACAGCATCTAATCAACGCAAAACAAAAACAAAAAAAAAAAAAGAAATTGACAACTATGTCTTTAGAACAAAGTGCATACAATTTAGCATAATGAAATCACAGTAGAATAAACAATGTATACTATATTTACTCACGAGTATCCATCTGTATCTTCACTAACTGGACAGGCTCTTTGACAGTGATCACACCACTTCATCTTTCTTTAACGTACAATCAACAGACGGAAGGGAAACACAAAGATATATTCAATTCAAATGCGATCAAACTTCCGAAGTTATTATTAAGTAACAAGAACAGCATTGATAAAATTTTCTTGTATCAAACCACTTAGAAGGGAAAAAAGAACTTCTGTTTCTCGAGTACTTACACAGATTTTGAGTTCAAACAATATGATCGGGAGGAGGTTAGAATGCCGCTGTAGAAACAGAGCAAGGCGGCAATTCCGACAGAGGACCCCAAATTCCGCGCCAGAGCACCAAAAGAAATATTTATGCCCTGATGTCTTTCGGGTTTCGTGACCGCGATCAAAGAGAGAAACCGCCTTTTGTACAGATAACTTTGAACCACTCGGGAAACCTCTCGCTGATGGCTGAGCACTATTTTTCTTTTTTAATATTTACTGATTAAAAATTAAGAAGAAACTTCAATTGGGTCAGATGTATTGTTTGGTTTGGGCTTGAAACAAATACATTGGCCCTAAATTTCTTTGAATTAGGTTCCTGAATATGGCAGCACCGCAGCAATGGTTGTAATAAAAATATGTATAAAACAGTTATTCCTCTGTCCCAAAATTATTGTTTTGAGATTTCATTTTTAGTACAATTTGAATTAAAAATGAAAATCTAAATTGGACAATAATTATGGGACGGAGGGAGAATTTGTTTATTTTATTATTATTTTTTTTTATGAAGGTCTTTTTGTTTAAATTTGGAAAGTGCTTAAAAAGATAATTTCATGAGTTATTTTGAGATGACAAAAAGTACTCCTACCACCTCTCTTCCAAATTAATATTCCAGATTAAATTTAGTACAAAATTCAAACTCAATGGAGACTATTTTTTTGTAAGAACATTAGAAGCATTTTAATATAAAATTTGCAAATATTACGCGATCCCTTCTGCTCTATCCGCCACCGGCACATTGTCGGTGGGCTGACCAAATTCCAGCCGATGGGTTGTGGTGTGACGATGGTGTAAGGTGCTTGACAGTAATGGTTGACATAAGTGGAAAAAATAAATTTTCTTTATCGCATGATATCTGTATTCCAGCATTAGCAACCGTGAATAATTCATGTAACTGAATCATCATCTTGATAAATGGAAGAAATAGCCAAAAGATTTAAAAGGCAAGTTAGTTTTTACTTTTTAGTATGAGCTTTAAATCTGAGATCCAAGACACTATTGTCAAACTTTTAAACCGCGAGATTTCAATTTGGGAGGAAAAAGGAAAAAAAAAAAAACCTATTTTGGGTTTAAAAGGCACATATTTATTATTCAAAAGGTATAATAAGTATTAACCACAAAGATTCAAAGTCGGCTCATAATGAGCCAGTTCCGCTGATATTTGATAACTCGATGAACATTGTCTGTAACTATCCGTTGAACAAAGAAGAAGGGTGGGGAGGAAAATAGAGATACAACATGCAATGCAATTCTATAGCTGCTGAAAAATCACATTTAACGGTGGTTTAGACTTGTGATTCGAACCACTTTGTCCAATCCATCCGAGGCGCTCCTTTCATCAGCAGGAGATATCTTTTCCAAAGAGTTCAGTAATTCCCTTTGTTGGATCACTCTGCTTCACAATGGATTCTCCAACCAGAACCTGTGATGACACCAAACATGATATCTCCAACTTAAATTGCAAGTTTCTCAATACAGGAGCAATGTATAACTAAATAAAAACTAGTCAAGCTACAGGCAAAGATGAGTACTTAATAATAAATCCTAAATGATCTAGCCAGGTAAACGTCAAGCACGAATTTTGATAATACGGTTAACAATATTAACACTGTTGTTTGGCTGGGGTGGTTAGGGGATTAGGATGGGGGATGATTATGACCAGGAGGTCGAGGGTTCGATTCTCACTCGGGCTATCCAATTTTATTTTTTAAAAAAATAAATAAATAAATAAATAAAAATAAATTAATACTGTTGTTTGGCTAACATGGTTTTGGAAGATCCAGCAATATAGGAAGAGAGTGGTATCATCTTCCTGGTGTCCATTAAATATACTTCTTGAACATAAATGATCCACTTCATAAAAACATTGAAGACAAACTAAAAACTCATGAAGCATGATTATGGTTCAATTATTTAGCTTTGATCTCCATGTTAAAGTTGTACAGACTAGGTGATGTATGACATCTGGTGTATTCTTTCTCAGTGAGTTGAATGTATGATGCTTACCGCTTTTACGCCAGCTTCTTGCACATAAGCAATATCAGAAGGAGTAAAAAGTCCAGACTCCCCAACCACCTAAGTAATGAATATAAAGGAGTAACATGAATGGTCAGGATCTATGCAACAAAACATACAAAGCCAGAGCGAAATGAAGTAGAATGGAGGTGAAATCCAGAAACAGTGGGAAAAAAAAAATTAAAAAAGCTCAACATCAATCACTTACAATAATGCCTTTTTCTTGGATTTTTTGCCAACGTTCTCCTTGAAGAAGATTTCTTGTGTTACTTATGTCGACTTCAAATGTCTCTGCAGAAACGAGTTAACGCATAGGCAAAACCCAGTCACAAGAAGGAAAAAAGTATTGATCCTAACGCAAAGTATCACATATTAGATTAAGCATCCAATGTCTGATCCTGTCTGCTTGCGACGTAACAAGTAAATGGAAGTACTGCAAACCTGTTCTTTGAAACTAACTATGCAGAAGAGCTAATAGAACTCTTCAAGAAATGGATGATAATTAGAAAACTGTCGAATGATCAGAAGATGTTGCAGAGAGTGCTACTGAATATCTAGGGCAGCTAAGTTCAAGAAAATGATACTGAATGCTGTGATGTTCTCGAGGACTTATCAGAAAACAAAGAATTTTGCAGGTAAAAATTTTGGCGGTGATCTAGAGACTGATTTGAAGGGAAGTTAGATGAGAATACAAGAGCACTAACCAGAAAAGAACAACAAATAATCAATCAGATTTGCCCCTAAGAATGATGTAATAGACTAGATGTGATCTGAAGTGATGCACTCTGGAAACATGTTTTGCTGATGGTATCATAAAACATAAAGCAAGAGATGTGTTTTCGATTTAATTCATCTTCCATAGCTGAAAATTGATAACTTGTGAAGTAAATAGGAAGGTAATAATCGAAAGGGTAATTAAGGTATTTTCACAGACTATTAATATCACAAGTCAATATTCTTCTGATTAAAAGGTACAGTATCAGACTAAACATACAAGTATGGAACATAGACCCCTTACAATGAACGTACTGTAAATCTTACAGACTCACCAAGATTACGGTTGTTTATGCCAATAAGTTCAATCCCTTCTATTCCCAGTACGCGATCCATCTCCTTCTCGTCGTGTACCTAAATATGAGATCATCAGAAATATCAAGTCAAAACATGATAGAATAAAATCCAGTTGAAAAGAGGTTTTTCTCGAAAGTTAGACAAATTGGAAAAGCGGAATGGAGATGGGAAAATGCAAGAATCTAACAGACAGTTAAGCACCCGGCAATATCTTATTCTCAAACAGAAGACAAACTTGAAGGCATCAAGAAAGAACTGACATGATAAATCGATACATCCTAAACGAATATTGATTGGTTGGTTGCCAAAGCTTCATAAGATAAGCTCTTTGTTCATTTAGGGACGCAATAAAGCTCAAGCTAGCAGCAAATTTTGAAGTTATAAATCTCTCTAATATTCATGAAGATATGAAACAAAAAGAAACAGTAATTTCCTTCGATAGTAAATAAAAGTCGTAGGACTCCCAAGATGAAAAGATTCGGAAGGTTCAGTTCAACTAAATTTAGGGAGTCCAGAAACAAAAACAAAGAAGAAATTATTCGCCAAACCTCAACAAGTGCAGTCAACCCCAGCAATTTGCAGATCTTAGTCATGTATCGAATATCAAGATCTGGTAAAATTGCAGCAACCAAGAGAATTGCATCTGCACCTTTAGTACGAGCGTAATAGATTTGCCAAGCATCTATGACAAATTCTTTGCATAGGAGAGGACACTGCATGCATAAGTTACATCAGCAGCATCCTCCACAAATAAACTGAATGAAAATGAAATGAGATAATTGTCCATATAGTAAAAGAATCAATACCTGCACTCCAGAGTTCCTAATTTTCTCCAAGTTCTCAAAGCCTCCCTTTAAAGGAAAAAAGAACAGTAAAAATGTTAGTCACAGTTAAAATAGATTTTGAGATAAGAACACTATCCTAGATAAACTAGAAAGAATGGCGGAAGGCAGCAAAGGTCTCATGAAGTTCACTTCTTACTTGAAAATATTTCTGGTCAGTCAAAACACTAAGGCATGCTGCTCCACCTTTTTCATAGGCTTTAGCAATTTCAACCTGTGATTTTACACAGAAAAATTCATAAGTGCGTCTAACAACATGACATCTTACAAAATGTATTCATGAAGTGCTCACTTATAAGTGATAAACAGAAGAGTAAGAAATATGAATAGCAACTAACAAATCACTAGTCGAACCAGAAATTCCTTCCCTTATAAGTTTCAATAAATTACGCTACATGCACGGAGAATATCAGATCATCAAATTTGACATTAACTAGGGGTTCTGACTTAAAGCATCGGAAAATGAGGTGTTAGTTCAGCTTATAATCTTGGAGAAGGGAAAATATTTTATTAACGTATGGAAAGATTTTACCCAAGCCAAATGGTGTGATGACCATCAAACACATAAAGGTTTTAGCTGTTCAAAAGCAGATGCATGCTGTAGACTAAAAGTTAGCTTCACAGCAACAATGGCCATTCACTCCATTTTCATCTTTTATAGTGAATATTATGTTTTTTAAAGTAAGTTGTCCTAGAAAAACATGGTGGACTAGGTAGGCAGAAACTTCAAAGAGACTGAAGCACATTTATTCTAGGTACAAATCAACATGAGAACTTGGCAAAACAGCCACAGAACCCTCCCCCTTCTATCTCTCTCTCTCTCTCTCTCTCTCTCTCTCTCTCTCTCTCTCTCTCTCTCTCTCTCAAACACACACATGCATAAATAAATAAGAAGAAGAAGAAATGGATCTTAGAGATTGAAAATTTGTAACAATATGACAAATGAACTCAAAATTTCTTCCAAAAAATCTTTACTTTCATTGATTCCATCTAACTTGTTCTAACATAGTCCTACCGAGCCTCCAAATGCCTGCTCTTTGTAGAAACTAGCTAAGTTCTAGCTCACACAGCCCCCATCCTCTCAATCCCAAGTACAGAAGTAAAAGAATAGGGAAAATCACAGCTATTATCTACATTCATCCACTGCTAGTTGTCTGCATTCTCATTTTAAGAACTTCTATAATTCAGGTCCGATAAAGAATAGGGAAAATCACAGCTATTATCTATATTCATCCACTGCTTGTTGTCTGCATTCTCATTTTAAGAAGTCCTAATGTCCTATAATTGACGTCCAACCTAACCTATACCATCAGCATGCCATGATTATACTGGCATCTTCTCATATAAATATATTAGCTACATTCAATTGGTGCCCTTCAAAAAAGCAGAGGATTAAGCCATGTCGAACGTCTCCCCAACACATTAGTAAAAGATATAGCCTATTATTGACAAATTGAAGAACATGCATGGCAAATGATAATGGAATCAAGCAATAGACTTCTTCATCTCTCTTTTGTCATTCTTTGCAAATATCAGGATTTCAAATAGGCTGAAAGGGAGGCAAACAGCAAAAACAGCAGACCTAATGTTAGCCACTGTATTCTGGTCCACATGCATGGCACTGGGACAGCCAAATCTGTGGAGACCACTTTGTTTACCTTGAATCCATGATTTACATTTTCCCTTAAACTTCTTTGTCCCCCAAACCTCCCCCACACCCAACAAAACCACAACTTAATACAATCTCATCCTTTCTTTCCCTCGAAATTCGGTTTATTTACCGGTGAAAAACTTGATCAAATTCATGAGTAGCATCCCTTATAGCAGACAGAAAATTGGGAATTTTATTCCCGGTAAATATTGCTCTGAGACAGACTAAAACTATTAAGAGTGTCTATAATCACAACATCAATTCAAAAAATATTATCTTCCAGGGAAAATTGCATCATCATATAGCTGGTTATTGCAAAATGTAGCGAAGTTACTATATTGCAGGGGAAAATTAATAGACATACTGGATAAATTACAGACATAATAGTGAAATCCATTACATCATAAATTCTGTGATCACAGATTCAACTACCTTAACAGATTATGAACTTCAATTGGGGAAAAGTGCTTGAGGACACACTTACTGGGTCAAAATTTTCCCTCAAGACTCCTCTAGATGGAGATGCCTTCTTCACTTCAGCAATTAGACCTGGCAATCCAGTTCGTGCATTTGCCGCCTTTAGGGCTCCAAGAAAATCTCTAACTGGTGGAGCATTGTCAAGGGCTCTTTTCAAAGAAGGAAGAGGCATTTTCTCTTTCATCTTAAAAAAAAAAAAATATTACAAAATGAATCGAGATCTAAACGAAATGAGTCAACAACAAAAACATTCACGAACGATTGAATTCAGAACTACCTGTGCCACTTCAACGTCCTTGTGCCAAACAATCTCTTCAAGGATATTCCGTGGAGTGTTACCTTCATTCTGTATCCTAAACTCAAAAGGACCAACGTAATGCAAAGGGGGGCCAGTAGGGGGCCGTCTCCTAATCCTTATACCTTGGCTTGCAGCTACCTCGTCTTGCAGCATACCAACTTCCCACTCCTTAACCTTCAAGGCATCTTTTTCAGAAACTTCGGCAGCAACTTCTTTGATTTCGGACTAGGTCAAACACGAAAAGAACTCCATGTCAGTTAAGACTATCCAAGTTTCACTTCATCTTAATGTAGACCTCCAATTGATCTCACTAATTATCTTTTAAACCTCCCAGATAAGAAAAAAAATCACAAGTACCATTATCTAAAATCAATTCTATAAACAGCAAATAACATTCCAAACAAAAACTTCTGAATCCACGAAACTTGCGAATTTGAACAATAAGTTCAACCGAAAATATAACCAAAAGAACTCAATCAAGACTTCACCCAAGAGGCAGCAGAAAAATTGAAAAAACAGAGGCAAGAATTGAACAACTGAGCAGGCACGCACCATGAAATCACTGCAGTCCATATGATTGATAAAATGGTAGATACCTTTTGAGCTTGAATGACCAAAGGGGCACCGAAAGTGATAGATTTCCAAACTGGGGTTGGCTTAAAAACGTTGAATTTGGGCCTTACATTGAAAGACGCCATGGAAACCATCTGGGCTGGCGTATTAGTTGCAGCCCTCATTGACATTTTAGCTTCCATTCAATTCAAGCGGATGTTTCCCTTTTGGAAAGGATTAAACAGAGTCCAAACCAGAAAAGGGCCAACCAAATCGCCAAAAGACGGGAACTTTAGCAGAGTCCTTTCAGAGAAGGACAATATTCAATTTGTTGAGTTAGAGTTGAAATTTCAAGGGACTAAAAATTGGCTTGCATTCCACAATTTCTTGCTAAAATCCCAGAAAAAATATGGTATTTTTTTTGGGCAATTTATAGTGTGATGTTGACTTTCATCCCCGCGGTGTGTGCAGACGCAGGTTTTTGTAATGGCGCTGTTCAGGGCTAAACTGGTCGTTGGTCGTTAAACAGAAAAGAAACAAAAGAAGAACAAACGCCTGGAAAGAGTTTTTTCTATTTTTCATTTACAACTAATTTTGGTCCAATTTTTTTTATTATTATATTTGAAATTTGTATATTAAATGGTGATTTATATACATTCTCTTTGTTTTTCTGTTTTTTTTTTTTGTTTTTTTTGTTTGATGAATCATACTTTTTTTATTCTGATTTTAATAATTCAGTTGTTGCATAAAATGAACGATTAAAATGAGACGAAATCATTATTACTATCATAAAAAATTTTTAAGGTCAAATTTTTTTTGTGTATCTAAGTAGTAATCTTTTTATCCATTGCAAACGGAGCTAGAAGAGTCATTATTGACAGTTCTTCTAGCTTTGTGCTAATAATGGATTAAATCAAAATAGCTTACTTAAATTCTAACGCTTCTTAATTTGGTGAAATTACCGCAAATCGATACATCAATGCACCAATACATTTTGATACTACTTAAAAAGCCTCTCTATATTGAAATACAGGGGTAAGCCTGCGTACATCTTGATCTCCAGGACCCCAACCGAGTTGGGAATATACTGGTATGTTGTTGTTGGATCTAAGTAATCTTTATATATTAGATTAAAAAATTAAATTATCTTTTCATACAAAACCAGGAGCTAACTTTTTAAATATAAGCCGTCAACTTGGAATTGAAAACAAAAAGAAAAATGATGTGATTGAAAGGTTACACAAATATTTTAAACTAGTTACTCTAAAATGACATAAATTAAGTAAATTAAACACTCTTGATATAAAAATCTCTTATTTCTAAATATAATTTTTTGGTTTTTTTTTACAGTTTTAGTTCAACAAAATAAATTACATTATTTTTCAGCGACAAAGAAAGGCATGACATTTCATTTACATCACTGTGGTTGTTTATCTCCCAATGGAAATGATGGGAATAAGAGATATTTCGATCATATTAATTTAAAATGACAAATCTTAGTGTGAAACTTCTTTAATACTGTTATTTTTATCTATTTTGGACCATCAAAGTATATAAAGGTATTCATCTGGTACCGTGTAACAATAGAAAAATGATTTTAAACATGTAAATTAGACTTCGGAGAATGTAAACTTCAAAGCTGAATGGTTATGACTGTCAAAAAAAAAATAAAAAATGAATGGTTATGCGAACCGCCAAAACCATCTTTTGAGCTTAATATTAGCTAACCTCTACATTGATACCAGTATAGAAGAGACTTGTGAAATTGATTCATGGACATTGTATATGTTTTCAGTTTTCACGTAAATAACTGTACCTAAGAATCCTGTTTTTCTGATCAACTTTTTAGCTTACAAATTCAACAGAAAAGAATATAAGAAAAGAAACTCCTTTCAACACAGAGTATCATCAGTTGTTTGCAAACCTAATCCAATTTGAGGTGCTTGGTATTCCTCCATTCACAACTGTAAGCAAATAATATCCAGCAGGAGCAACAATGGAAGATGGAGGAGCCTCAACTGTTGCATTCACCCAACCATCTTTATCCTTCACCATTTCCTTGCATCTGAGTTTCAGCATCCTTTGATTCATGGAAATAGAATGAGTTGTAAATGGTGGAAAATGTGCAGTAAACTTCACACCATTTCTGTTGATTTTCCTCAGCAGAAAACGGACTTCGAATTCTCCTCCATATACTACAGTACTTCCCTCTTTTGTGCTGGCGGTTATCGACACGTTATGCGCTCTTCTGTGGTTGAATTTCCTGTCCATGTGATCAGGAACAAAGGCTTGCAATCTCAGTTCTGTGGGATACTTCACATTGGTATATTCGTAGCGCTTATTTGGGTTGCTTCCTGCTACAAGAACTCTTCCATCAGGAAGTAGAGTGGCTGTTGAATGGTACATTCTAGGAATTTTAGTGGCCTTAAGGATACTAAACCTTCTTCCTGGAGATTTTTCGGGTTTGTACAGGAAAGGGTGGAGAGCAGGGGAGGCTGCGTGTTTCCATCCAGCGCAACCTCGTCGAGCGCCATTTATGATCAGTACATGACCAGTTGGAAGAATCACCATGTCACTCATTATCCTTGGCCCGGCCATTTTCTCCATGCGCCACTTGTGATTGTTGCCTGTGATCACCATTCTACCACAAGAGTTTAAGCCCTTCAAGAATCTGCCTCCCCGAGCAGCTGCATACGCTCCACGAACAGCACCTCCACATATCATGACTTCGACTTTTAGGAAGCTATGTTTATGGTCTAATGGGAGAATGACTGATGAGGCTGTACTAGGATAGCTCCTTGAACCATCCATTGGAATTCTAGGATATGTCTTGACCACTTTCCTTCTTTTATAGTCAAAAAGAATTGAATCTCGATTCGCAAAGATGAATATATTCCCATCAGAAGAAAGATGAAGGAAAGGGTAGAGATTATTACCTTTACTCTTGCTCTCGTAGGTCCTGTGCAAGAAGGGAAGATCGAATGACTTACTCTCGGATGATGATTTCGGAACAAACTCGTAGGTGAAAATCCTTTGACCACCTACAACAATGACCTGATCATTCTCTGGCAAAGACAGAGTGGAAGCATACCACCTTCTATCTGCTAGATGATTTCCAGCTTCCCTCCAGTCACAAGTATTGCCTACATCACACGGTTCAAAATAGCGAATTTTTCGCCCTCCATCGCCATATCCTCCCGCCTGAACAATCCTCCCATCATTCAATATAGAACCAGAGGAGCACCAAGTATCAGTTTGGATGCTGAGAGGCCTGATCTTATTGCTCAGAATGTCATACTCCACTGAATGAGCATAACAAGATGAGTCTTCTATATCAGCATGCGTTTCTTCACATTTTGTTCCATTCAGCCTTCTTCGCAGATGGTAATCTGATTGGCCTTCAGCCTGATCAAGTATAACCACCGTGTCGTGGCGTGTTAAGGCCGCGTGCATGGCCACAACACCAGAACTGTTCAGAAGAAGCTCCCACTTCCCTTTACCACCTTTCGAGAACCCTTTAACCGCGTCGCCATGGTTGACAGATCCGGTTGCGAGAAATAGCAGCACCAGAGGTATAGCTTTGTTGAAGAAGTGAAAGTTTTTTGACTCCATGAGTGAAGACAGATTTTGTAAGAGGTTTTTTTCTTTGGGACCAGGGTTTAATAAAGAAATTTTTGTTTTCACATAAAATATTGGCTGTTTCTTTCCATGAATTCCTTCTCTATAGGGACGATCAAACTACATCTCAGCTTGCAGAAAAAGTACATGAAAGAGGTCACATAAAGCTCCAATTTGCGAAAGCTTCTACCCAAATCAGCATGTAAAGCTTGTGAATGGCCTAAAACTTAGCAATTCCACATTCATAGATCCAAGACAATTAAAATATGGCTGAAATCGTAGTATTCTGGTTAGCATGGATCACGATCACAGTACAAAGTCGTCGTAGATTACAAGCGAAATTGACATCTGAAATTTATTTTGCGGCCGGCACAGAGGATTGTCAGGCCTTCACAGGGCTACTATGTTATTTACTTGTTTGAATTTTATGCATTAACACAATTTCCAAATCCCTCTAATATAAAGTAGCATTGTATGATTCAACCGAAGTGTAATGATTATCATGATTCCAGCTACAGATGCAGCAAGAAGAAACACTAAAAACTAGCAGTAAATTGATACCAACCCAAAATGAATGATAACATACTTCAATTCCAATTGGCTTGTCCAGCAAACTATGATACACATGAAAAAGGAAAATGGATTGCTATATACAGATCAAGAAAAGGCTGAGCCTTCATATCAAGCCTTATGAGAAATGACTGGAAAAAAATTCCAAATCAATCATCATGACAAAAGGTTTCAACTAGAACTAAATAGATTAGCTCCTATGAAAGAGTAAGTATACATCAGATAGGAAGTTGGAACCTCCTTCAGTAAAGTTTAATCCTTGTTTGTATGGGTTCCCGGCAAATTGGACAAGATTGAAGATCTTGACCGCAGCTGCAGCATGTCTGCAAGTGAGAAGGCTACACATCACACATTTAATTCTTATTCGTAACTCAACGAAGAAACAAAAGGAGCAGAGTTGTACCTGATGCCCACAGCCAAAAGCCATGTTCTTGGGATCAGTGAGACAAATAGGACACAGCTGCAAAGACAAATAATACAAGAATAAATGGCTGCTGAGAAATAAAGTTGATGGTTGCAGACAAATATTCAGAATATAGTAAAACCCCTGAGTTGATTATGTGCTTGTAATAAAAAATGAACGACAAGAGTAAACTCACATTATTCTCATAATTACTTGCCGATTGACTTGTGCCAACAGGGCGCTCAGGCACACGAGAAGAAGGTGCAATTGGGGGAAAACTGCTGTTTCGTGAAGGTTTTGATGCACCATAAGAGGTTGTACCATAATTAGGAGGAGGCAGAGCAATCCTATTTATAGCATTTCCTCTGCTTGCTCTATTAAAGAGAAATCAGTCAGTGAGTAATTTATCATCTTAAAGAACAGATACACCAACAAACATAGCCCAGATTATCTAAAATTACCCAAGTATATTCAGCTCCAGAGTTGCTTTGTACTGAGAAGGTATTTCCATCAAAGCTGAAAGTGCAAACTCAGCCTCTTTCCTGGATCTATGTATATTCTTTGACATTATCTCTGTGAAATTAACAAACTAAAGAGGGTGCAGAATGTCAAGGGAAAATAGAGAAAACAAAAGTATGTATTGAACGGGACAAAGTGCAAGAATATTCATAAAAAGGGAAACAAGAGTTAGTATTAGATTCGATTCACTTGCCTGAAAATTGTCAAATGCTCGAGCAGGAATGTTATCATCAAACTCCCTCATCATGTCCCACGGTCCATCTCCAACCCCAACCAATATGATCGATAAAGGGTACTGACTGTCCAACAAGTCAAACTTAAATTATTTGAAAGCCAAAAAAAATAAAAATTATAAAAGTAAGGGATTCTCTTTTTACAAAAGTAATTCAATTTACCTAGCTTTCACAATGGCCTCGACAGTTTTCCTCTCCTGTGGGCTTAATTGGCCTCGCCCAGTATCTACACTTCTAGTGACCTGTAATGTACAAGAGTTTAAGCAAAAGAACCAGTAACTAAAAGAAAGCAAGAAACCCATCAACCACGAATCTGGCGTATCGGCATTTGGTTTAACTTCTAAGTTTTAAAAAAGATAGACATTCACATTAAACCTGGTTGGTGTCATGATTTGGTTTTAACTTCTACACTTACAAGGACAGGTACTTCAAAGTCAAATACAACAATCTCGTGGCAGCATTTGGTTTGTCCATGTTATCTGAGAACTGCCAAGGATTGCGGCTACTGAATCTTAGAAACTTACATAAGCAAATAGGCACATATTTTATAACATTCAAGAGCCATGTAATCCTTCAAATGAACATGATCAGGCAACGGCCAGTTTCTATCTTTCTACAGAAACAAGCAGAAAGTTGATAAAAGTTTAACGGAGGAAACACTTTCTGGATCCATTTTTAAGCGCTCAGTGAATGTACATTGAGCCACAGAAAGAAAGTAAGAACTCAATTACTATATATTAAATATATAGGTGGGGTTGATTTTGCTCAATATAAAACACACAGCGTCAGTTACAACTAAAACCTAACCCAATAAAACCGAGAATACAAGAAAAGTACCTGGCCATCAGCTATGATCAATAAGACATGGTATTGTCCACCACTTTGCTCAACAATAGTAATTGCCATCTCAATTACAGGAGCAAAAGATGTAGGTCCTGTAAAGAGTGGAAACCATTAATAGCACAGACCAAACAACAAATAAATCTTGCTTTCCATTAGACAGCATGAAATGCATAACAAAAAAACTTGCATGGTAACTTTAAAAGAAACCCTGTATTTTCTCAATTTCGGAAGGAAATTAACTTTCCAGTGGGTAATGAAAATATTTTGTTTAGAAGTAAATTCTATCGTATTAATGTCCATACACGATGAAGAAAACAATGCAACTTAATGTTACAGTGTCTATCATTAGTTAAGCTAAAAGATACTGAAACGAAAGGAAACATGTCCCCATTGCAACTCTCCCCTTCACTCTTTATCAAGCAATCCTAAGATTCATCAACTCAATCTCCCTTAGATCTTAAACAATAACATCTCCGGAACTTACTTCTAATGTCATCCACAAAACATAACCCCCACCCCACCCACTCCCTCCTTTTCCCTAACTTCTTTCTTTCCAAGAAACCAAACAGGGAACACTTGCCCTCGGACAGCTTATACATTAAGGAGCTTTCATCACAGCTTACAGTAATTCTAAATTGCAGAGAGCACCCACAACTAATAACCATTATATGTCAAGATCCTTAGAGAAATCATATTGCATGAATGACCATGATATATATAACAAAATAAACAAAAAATTTTAATCAATAAGATAGTAAATAAAAATACGAATGGTTGAATCATGATTTTACTTCCTGAAATCAATTTCATCCCAAAGTCATATATGTAGATCACAAAAGCCATAAAAACAAAGCGCAGATAACAAAATAAGGAGGTGGAATAGATTAGGACCTGCAAGACGTAATTGTGGAACTAATTCACGATACCGCGTCAATACTTCCTCAAACCCTTCACAAAATCTATCGTCTGGATAAAAGCTGAAAACTTCTTGGTCATGTGTAGACGCTGCGCAATAAATGCACCGTTATTAAAATCCATAAAACGGAAGGATAGCTTTAAAATATTTTTTAATAAGAGGCTGTTTCTGTAACTCAAACCATAAGCTTAAGTCACATGAACAACAGCGTACTACACCAAGGCTCCAGTTCATAATCCATAAAATATGACACAAGATTAAAGGTAAAGTTCTGAAGTTCATTTTATACACATACCATCTCCAAACCCGAAACAAGGAATTAAGTTATCCTCATCAAATTTAGATAGTGTCCTTCCAATAATTGAAATGGCCTGTTCGTAGGGGTTCGGCTCACCACTAAGGTGATGTAAACTCTTCCGGTTGAATGACCTTGAACCTAGTTGCATAAAGAAAATGTGAGTCTCTTTTCGTACCCCTATAATATAAAATTTTTGTCTTCACCTCTTTGAAGCAAACTAACCTGTCCACTCATTGCTCTTGGTGAAATCAATACCAACAATCAGATTTGACGATTCCAATCCAGCACGAGAAAGTGCATCAGTAACCTATTGAAGCAGAATTGGTCAAAATACTATATTTGATGAAATTTCATAAAGCCATGTATCCATAATTAATCTCAAGGAGACACAAAAAGGCAAGACAGCTGGTGTTTAGGTATTTCACAAGCATTGAGTTGTGCCATATGCATGACGAAAACAGCAAAAACAGCAAACCATCTCCCCCTTCTTTGACTATAATAAGCTATTATGAACCACAAGCATTAAGGAACTAAGGAAATCATAGTAATAAAAACTTAAATGATGCCGAAGCTAAAAACGTTTACCTACTTTTTGAAACAAAATGGAGGGAGGGAGAACAAAGATGGAAGAACCCCACAGAACTAAGACTGAAGAGGACACTCACAATTAACAAAATACATCAAGAAAGATTCATTTTAAGTTAAATCAACCAAATAACTACCTCCTGTTAATGCAAATGAAAAGCCTAAATAACCAAAATATTGCAATAGATAACCAGATTGCTTTATTACTGAATTACACAAGTGTTCAACGCATATCCAACCACAAAACAAAGCACCTGTAACTGCAGATGAAATCGCAAACTATATCATGAAATGTTTATATGTATCTACATTACGATGCAATCGCAGAACAAGGAAGTGGAACAAGGTTTAGTATCTGCATCTATGTATTTTGTTCAACCAAATAAACATCATCAGCAGCTGCCATGTTATCAACCGGAACAAGAAGCCTCATACAGGATGAATATCCAAAAAATATGATTGGAAATATATAACAAGGACATCCTTGAAGTTCAAACTACTTTGAAATCTTTAACAATTCTTATACCCAAAATACCAGTCCAAAATTCCATTACAAGAAACAGAAAGATGGTGAATAATGTAGCCATAAAAAATACGCATATCGAAAAATAAGTCCTATCATTCAACTTAACAAAATACATCTTGGAATCTATGTTTCCGAAAGCCTACTTATGAAGTTAAATAAATGAAAAATAACCAAGTTGTTTATAAAAGTGTATGATTACACGGGATGTTATGCGCAATATCACAAGTGATGTTAATCGGTCTTTTTTGAAGAGAAGAAGATCAAAAAGGTTGAGAATTTCCCCCGTAATCAGAACAGAAAATTTACAGGTAAGAGCATGATTGTGACTGAGATTATTCCAAACTCAGGTGTCACAATGTAACTGTCTTATGACAGCAGAACATAAGTAAAGTCAAACGAGCAAACAAAAGTATTGCACATAATTCACAAATGTGGGAAAAAAGAAAGAAACAAAACTTTGTTTCAAGAATAGATCAAAATGGTAAAAGGTCTAGTTGAGGAATCCCAACATGACTAAAATGCCAAATTTCATTTCTAAAAAAGAAGTAAATAACAAGATTAGCATACAGTTCATAAGTGTTCATTCTTCTATTTACCTGTTCCAAGCTATTATAGTCATCTTCTATCCTTGAATATTTCCTTTCTAACCGTTTCCTCGCCTCAGGAGGAGGAACATCATAGTTCTGATACACAGGTGGTGGTGCATAAGTCTGACTCGGTTGCGCATATGGATATTGTTGATTACCATAATCATTCCATGAGTTTGAACTTGAACTATAAGATGAATACCGGCCTGAACTCGGATTTTTAGAACTTTTTCCACCCATGAACTTAAGAAACAAGAATTTCAAAATGCTGTAAAACAATACAAACTTGCTTTAGAGAAAGAAGAAGCACGGAACATTCAGGTTATACAAATAATTAAGTAAATATATCGAATACCTAAAAGTTACACCCAACAGAAAATTTCAACTTAACCAATCTACTGAAAACAAAAAAACTGAACTGCAAATATGAAAGCACAGTTGATGCAGAGATAGGACGACCTAGATTTTCTATTGACAACAGAAAAGGCCTGTTGTAGACAAGGTACATAGATTTATGTTTCTGTCTATAACAAAACGGCTTTTTTCCTTAGCTTTTAAAGTTTCTAAGCTAACCTAACACTTGGTTACATCTAAGAGGCAACAAATTTAATGCTAGTGATGTGTCTAATTGGGTGATAGGATGGAAATTGTCACTATCTCTCACTTTGCACGTAAAAGGGCTACCTATAACTACTGGCTCCAGAAATCATACATAATATTCAAAAGGCATTCCATCTTTTGTTTTAGAATATAATGCTACGTCCCCATCGATGTATCAACAAACACATGATAACTGTCTGACAGGTCAATTCCTGTTGCTTCTTTCACGAACTCTTAGCAAGTTCATTGGAATCTAACTTTTCAGATGATGTTCACAGTATCCGAGCTACTTCACATAACCCATTAACCAAGTCTAGCACTCACAAAGCTCAGCTAACTTTGGGAAGAATGTAGAAGCATACCAAAACAGTTCCCTTCTGAAAAGAATCATCCATAATCAAGATTGTATAAAGTTATAACGTCTCCATTTGATACACAAAAACACCAAAGCATACTAGTAAACACTTTCTGAATATCCCCCTCCAGGTCAGACACTAAAAGTGGCAAAAAAATATGCAAAATGACAAGAGTTATACACTCTTATACTTCAAATACAGGCATCATCTTAACAGGAGGGAAATAAAGTTAAGCACCTCATTTTCTTCAAACAGATCATTTTGAGACTATCCGCAATCCAATAGCAAGAACAGTAATGATGGTATAACATTCCAAAACCTTAAAATGAAAATTCAAGGAGTGGTCCACCCAATTGAAAACAAACCAAATTAACCTCAAAAGTGGACCCATGATTTCAAGAAATCTCACACTCAGAACAGCTGTAATTCTTTTGTCTGATAATGACTTATCCATTCACCATGTGGACAAAATCCAAGCTATCTTTCTATCCCCTCCACTTTAATTGAGTAACCCAAAACAGAATTTAATCGATACCAGCATGATACATGTTAAATCAAGCTTTAACCAACTATATGTTTTTCCATGTCAAAGATAAAGTCAACTAATTTCACACTTGATTGAACCAAAACCAGAAAACACCTAAAGATCACTAATTGCTTTCAATGAATCAAATGTTGCAAGTCTGTCCACCAAGACAAGATTAAGCCTACTTCTTCAACCATACTAGCAACACTTCTTGATGAACTAACAATCCAAAACCCATAATTCAGTAATTGCCAATTCACGAAAAAATCCACACTTACCATAAAACCAACAAAGGGAAAAACAAGAAATACAGGAGGGAAAAAATTAAAGAACCCATAAGGGATCTTTCTTTCTCATTCAACTACAGAAAGTCTGAATCTTTTTATCATCCCAAAGATCAAATTAGTAGCATAAAAAAGCAATCTTTTCTTTCAACTTTTGCAACCCAAGGAAAAAAGACATATATACATACTGAACTATTCACAGACGAATAACAATCATGCTCACCTAATTATAACAGCCCTTCAACTTATGCAGCATTCGTCTCAAAAATAAATAAAATGTACTGAGAAAAAAGAATATGGAAAAGAGTTATATATGGGTGGAATTGGAGAGGGGGAAAAGGATGTTTTGTGGGAGAGACAATAATAAAGTTAACTCTTTAGGGAGTTGAAGTTAGGTGGAGAGTGTTTTGATTCGTAGTTGACTTCTACGATGGGGATAAGTGTGTGTCACATGCAAGTTCTAGCTTTAATCTTACGTTTTTTACTACTTCAGAATTTCGGACATACTATTTTCTATCAAAAAAAAAAAAAAAGAATTTCGGATATACTATTATCAGGAAAAAAAAACTTGGATCATTATCTAATCGGATTTTTACATAACACTTTTTTAGTTCTTACATTTATGTAAAAACTAATTTACTAAATTATTTTTTATACCACGTTTAGTGTAATATACAAACTACAAAACTATAATGTGAATTATTTCTTGAACAGATATTTATAAAATCAAATTATCAAAACAAAAAAAGTATTATAACGTTTCACGGACACATTGTGAGATATTGGAAAAGTGTTACATAAAAGTTTAATACCAAAAGTGTCACATAAAATTTTTCGCAATTTTAAATTTAAGCCTTAAGAAAAAGTGAAAAACTCAAATTTGTTTTGATTAACATAAGAAATGCCTAAATTTAGTAATACAAGATGATCTTACATGTGTTGCCAGCTTACGTACATAAGTAAATAATTTTATCTTTTGTCTAAAAAAATTGATCATATTATGGAGGTCACAAGAACATAATGTCGTATCATGGTTTTTTGGCATGATTTAAGATTGACGTATCATACTTTTAGAAATGAGAATATGTTTTTCGTCTTTTGTGAGTCAAAAATATGCTGCTACATCTTTTGTTTGGAATTATTAAATTAATATAATGTAAATCATTAATTGATCCACAGTTATTACGCAATTAGTATTGCAGAAAATGACGTTTATCCTTCCACTATAGTACGCTCCAAAGATGAAAACGATCAAGTAATTACAAATCACGCGGGAAAACGATATCGATGGTTTAGTTATAAAGTGTTAGCCATCTTTATTGTAAAAACAAACCAAAAATAATAATAATAATTTGCTACTAAGAAAAGAAGAAAAAAAGTTTATAAAGCATAAAGGGAAAAAAACTTACCACCAATTTTTGTAAATTGTTATAAGAAGTACTAGTAATTCATTTTCATAAATCTGCCACACTGTGCAATTAACAAAACTAAGATCATGTTTTACGAAGCAAATTGGCGTAAAGCCATGACCTGAGATATGCACCAAAAAGCATAGGCTCCGCGGGGTAAATGTATTAAAAAGGGGCAAATTTTAGCTGAGGTGCTGCTACCGTTGGCGGAGAACTTTCTTTGGGAAAAAGTGTATTAGTAGCTTATATGCCGTGGGAGGGGTACAATTATGAAGATGCAGTACTCATTAGTGAACGTTTGGTATATGAAGATATTTATACTTCTTTTCACATACGGAAATATGAAATTCAGACCCATGTCACAAACCAAGGTCCTGAGAGGGTCACTAATGAAATACCCCATTTAGAAGCCCATTTACTACGTAATTTAGACAAAAACGGAATTGTGATGTTGGGATCTTGGGTAGAAACGGGTGATATTAAAAACCATGACCTAGGAACTTGAAGGAAATTAAAGCTAATTTTTAGGGAAAATTTAGGCAATTATTTTTCACTTTTTAGCTGTGTTTTCAAAATTGGACCGGCCCGGGCGGTCTAACTGGTTAGCCTGGGAACCGAAAATCTCACCGATCCGGTTTCTATAACAAACCGAATTTTTTATAATCCGGTCAAACGGTCAAACTCGGACAAAACTACAGTTTGACCGGAATCGGTACCGGTTGAACTGATTTTTGCATATATATCTTAAAAAATTAATTTTTAAATATTTTTTTAACTGGTTTTCACTGGTTTCGAGGAATGAACTAATCCGTTAATCCGATAAACCCATCAACCCGGTCACGCTAACGGTTCACCTTCCGGTCCGGTTTTGAAAACATAGCTTTTTAGGGGGTAAAAATTAAGATACAGTTGTAGATGTGGACTAATTCAACCATGCAACTCGTCTTGTAAATTCATTTGTAATTGTTAAAATAGAATTTGAACATAAGTCAATCAGTGGGTTTCAAGTGAAATTTCTTATCAATTTAAAACAGATAGTACTAAAATGTTAGATCTACAGTTATACATGATAATGTTTTTATCAAAAGAATCTTATTAATTTATTGCGTTAAACGACTACTGTTTTGAATGTATTCAATTTACTCATGTTACTTAATTACCTTAACGTAGAAATTTCGACGCTTTGCTAGACCATACATCCAAGTAAAGATTGACACGAAAGCTTTGATAGAATCGGAACTTAAAAAAATGAGTAATATTTTCATTGGAAGAGCTATCAATTAAGTAATATAATCAACTTTTTGTTCCAAAAAAAAAAAAAAAAAATCAACTTTGACGTAAGTTGGAGTTTGTTTTGCAAACACATGTAAATCCTTGTTAAGAAATGAGCATTTTGAGTTTTACATTCTCAAATGATATTTGCTGGTTAAATATGTGTGTAGATTTTGTCATTGAATTTGTGAATTTTATTCCTCATAGATTATTCGCTCAAATATAATGATATAAATATATGTCACACCATCTCAGAAAATAGTACTCCCTCTGGTTCTTAATGTAAGACACTTTGATTTGTCTTATGTTTAACTTAATACATATTTTTAATTGCTCAAAAAATCTTAAAAATATTTCACAACATCCGAAAGAATACAACATGTTAAAATATATTTTTAAAGTTTTTTCAACAATTAAAAATGCATAATAGGTGAAACCTAGGACAAAGTTAAAATATCTTATATTAAGGATCTGAGAGAGTATCTTTTGTTAAGTTAAAACAATAAAATATATTTTGTTAGAACGGAAGAGTTTTTAGTATCTATATCTATATATCCTATTAAAACAATAGTCCAAGAGCAAAAAAAAGGCTGACATGTCGCGTTCTCATGCATTCATTTCCCGCTCAACAATAATTACGTAGTTTTGTGAAAAAAAATAATTTCTACAATCTTAATGGTGTCAATTTTTCTTGTTCTTAATTATAATCAATCAATTATTATTAATAGAATAAGACATTACTGATATAAATAAATAATTCTTTTATTATTTCTAAAATTTAAAACATAACAAGTGGAGTTAAAGTTAAAAAATATTTTACCATTCGTATATAATTTTAAAATATATAATATTTCAAATCCCAGGCAAGCACCTAGCTAGTATTACGTGTACATTGAGGAATTAAGGCAGCTTCCTGAGAAGTTTCTAACTCAGATTGGAATGAAAATCACGTAAGCTGACATTTTCATGAATCAATCAATTCGCAGTTTTTTTTGTAGTGTAAACTTGTACATAAATGTGGCATTTTAATTGCTCAACGTAAATTGGGACATGATTTTTTTAGTAGTTTATACTCCTACTTAATTTCAACTTTTGAGAAAGTGCCATGACATTTGCCCTTTTCACTTGCTTTGTGAATCATCAACGCAACACCAAAAAGTCCAAACTCTCAATCATTATCATTATTTATTTAAGATACCATTTGAAGTCCCCAAATTTAATCATTCATTCATCTGTTTATGCTTTTACTTTTTCCATACTCTACATATTCCCTCTTTTCAGCTTTCTAACTTTACGACGTGAAAAAACACCACAAAGCGAAACTGCATTTTTCTATTTTGTCCCATCGAATCTAGAAATATTTTGGGTTTGATACATTCAAGAAAGATATTTTAGTCCGTCACATTCAATTTTTTGCTCTTTATAGTCCAAAACAGTGGAATAAAATTCTATAATAGTATACACCCTCCATTCCATAAAAATTATCCATATTGGTCTTAAATCTGCTTCATCGCCTTGACTTAGGCGTAGAAGAAAATTGTGCTATTTTTAGTACAGATCATAATTTACAATGTAAATTATTTTTTGTGAGATAGTATAATATAAAAAAAAATTTTAAAAATCACTGTTGATTAATATACCGGACCACAGAGAAAATGCGGCCACATGTAATTGAGTAAGAATTTGCCATCAACATTTATCCAAGTACTTCTCCAAAAAAAAAAAAATTTAATTATTTAAAATTTATTTGCAATAAACTTGTATGTTTAGATGATCGTTTTCCTACAAATTCTAGTACAGAAATGGTTCCGCTACAAAACAATTTTGTGCAACCAGTTTGTAGAGTGTAAAGTTGACGAAGCATGGATCTGCACGGTACCTTAGGACGGGTGGCGATGATGATCTAGACGGCGACGGACGGCCTAAAACCTGGAGATAGAGTTTCGGGTGTGTCCCGAGGGTAGACTCTCTGATGTTTAAGTCAATAAGGAAATAAAGAGAGTAGAGAGAGAGGGATGTGTATCGTGCGTAGAAGGTGTAGAAGATAGGTAGAAGATATATATTATGGGAGAGGCACCACTTCTTTATATAGAGGTGGTGTTACCTGTTTCCTGAAATCTAGTCGTGTTAGGTTTAGGCGGTGACTTAACCTCCAAGATAGCCGGCCCAAACCCATTAGGATTATGATTAATTTATGACTCGTCAAGTGCCCATAGCAAGCCATATTCTCGAGACTTGATGAGAAGAATATGGAATGCTACAAGTGTTGATATCTTCTCGAGTTTCATGGTATTGCCCCAGCTCTTGAACTCTTTCGTTCTCGGGTGTCACTTATACAAGATAAAGAGAATAAAGTGCCTCGAGGAGGTCTT